ATTTCAATCTCTTCTCTTCCTGTTCATTTTATTCATTTTATTTCTTTATTCTCATTTACTGTTACTAATTCTCTTAGTTTAGAATAACGTTCTTTGATGCCGATGCGAATTTTAACTCCCCCACCTCTCATTCATTTCAATCTCTATTTTGTGTTCTTTGAATATGAATTTCTCAAAATAATCATGCTAGTTAACTCAGCTGCTTATATAGGCCATGTTGTGGCTTAGTTTTTCTTCCCTTCCTCAAAAGTGTATGTTGGCACTTATACGAAATTGAAACTTTATATATACACAAAAAAATTTTTTTTATTTATCTTTTCAATTTTTTTTTTCTGTGTATGTGTTGTGTAATAGGAGTAGATAACTCTACCTATCACCCAGTCAATACTTCTCCCCCTTCTCTTGAACTAGTATAGAGACTTGTCCCTTGATCTTCACTTTCTCTGGCCTCTGTATTAGTGCTGTCATGAATCTCTTGTGCTCTGTGCAGTCTATGGCAACATCTCTTCATACTGAGGATGCTAGGTTGACAGTTCTCTTGTTCCTGTTCTTGACTGGTAGTTAGGAGCCCTAACTCTTGCATAGAATCTTCAGTGGCTGCTCGGATCAACAGTTGCATAATATTGGGGTGATTAAGAAGTGCCATATACTATATGGAAGGATGTCCCTGCATGTATTTCAATTAACCCTGAAACATTATGTTAAGGCTTATATGCCAAAATGTTAATGCAATGACCGTTCAGCTACTATTACTTTAGGATATAAAAGAATTACTTTAAATAAACTTCTTACTTTAGGCCCTAAAATAACAGTTACTTTAGGCCCTCAAACTTTTATTTGTCTAAATTACTTTAGGGGCCCTCTCACTTTATTCTGTTACTTTAGGCCCCCTCACTGAACTCAAGAAAAGGCTTTTCAAACTTTCTTTGATTTTAGGGCCCTCACTTTCACTATTACTTTAGGCCCTCTCACTTTCGCTGTTACTTTAGGCCCTCTCACGGGCTGTTACTTTTAGCCCTCTTTTTTTCCTTTATTTCTTTGCCCCTCTCACTTTTCTTGTGAATAATTAAATTGGTTGTATTATATTTTTTTTATAATATATAATCAATTTTATTTTTTTAGTTAGCATGCATCTGGTTACAATCTAGTAGTTTTATATATTTAGTGTTCTTTGAGGAAGTATCATATTCTATTTGACGTGTATTGACTTTTTTTTATATATCATCTTGTTTGTTCATCTACAGTGTGGTTTGGGAAGTCATTATTAATGAATCTGCTTAATATTTTTAAGTATAGAAAAAAAGTGAAAGAAATTTGGGTTTTTAAATTTGGAAACTCTGAAAAAGCGGTAGTTAAAAAATTCTGTTCTCAAGTTCACATAAGATAATAAAATCCCTTTCCTTGACATATTAATAGACACAAATAACACATTTATTCCCTCTCCATATAAATAAACCAACCAGCAAAAACCCTTGCACTCTCAGCTATGAGGGAATGTCCAGATTACAACAGAATTTAATTGCACATTTAATATTATTCTTGTTTTGTTTTTATCTTTCTTTTGTTTATTGGAAATTTTGTCAATTCTCTTTGTTTAGTACTTCTACCAATTACATTTAACCATGACTTTTGTAATAAGTTAAAATATTACTAATGATTTATACATTTGACTTGTAGATATTTAATTGTCAGTATGCATTTCAAATTGTTTCAACAACAGTATTGACATTAATTTTAAAAGGGCTGATTATTTTTTATCCCTTTATTTAAATAATGAAGATAAGTTGATTTAATGTTTACAATTAGATTTTGTTTTCATATGTTCTGATCTAAAAATTTATAAACGCTGGTTTTTCGTAAAACTGAGAATAGAAGGAACCTCCCCTGAGAAGATTTGTTAAAGTGATCAATGTTTTATTTTCTGTTTTCTTTATATATATATATATATATATATATATATTTTATATATTATAAATGTCTTATTTTATTTTCCACATTTTTATGTTTATTCTTCTTTTTATAGATACAAATATTTAAGTAAATGCTCTGTTTATAATTATTGAAGTGATTACCGAGAAAAAATGTCTGAGAAATTTTCCTTCGACTTTTAAGGGACGAACCCTTTGGTTCTGAAAATGTCTGCAACGCAAAACGATGTACACCAACACGGGTGAAATGTTGGTCTGCCAATGTCTCCAAGCAACCTGCTTTTTGGAGCCCTATATTATGTGTGTTTTTGCTGACTAAGACCTGAATATTAAAAGTCACGGACGCCATTTTGAATCTTTTTTTTCCTTTCTCAACCCACAGGCCAGGAAGATACGTTTGTGAGGTCAATGTTTCTATTTTCCCCATGATCTCATGATCACAGAGTTGACAGGGAGGTGGTGATCGCTTGCGCCAGGTACTTCTTTCGAGCCTCATCGTTGCTTGTGCTCCTGTCTGAGGTCTGAGGGTCTAAAAGACACCGCGTCCCCTTGAAGGCTACTGATATCTGAGTCACTGCCTGATTGGCGTGAACCAATCATGCCTCACTGGTCTCAGATCGATTCTTCTCTTCCTGTTCATTTTATTTATTTTATTTCTTTATTCTCATTTACTGTTGTGGGCTGATCATTCAGTTAGTTTAGAATAATGTTCTTTGATGCACTTGCTGTGCGGATTTTTAAATCCAGACGACATCTCATTCTTTTCAATCTCCGGTTATTTTCAGTTCTTTGAATGGTTTGAATTTCTTCAAAATAATCATGCTAGTTAACATCTTAGCACGTTTATATAGACCGGCAGACATGTTGTGGCTTAGAAATTTTTTCTGCGATGGTCAAAAAGTGGTTATGTTGATTCATTTATACGAAATTGAAACTTTATATATAAACAAAAAACTGCTTTTTTTGTCGGTTTATCTTTTGGGGCCACGTTTTTTTTTTTGACGGATGATAGTGGTTGTCTAATAGCAGCAGTCGCCATATCGCAAAACCTGGATGGACCCAATCAATGAGTGTCAGGAAATCCGCCGTTGTGGTGAGTAACATCTATCGCCAGCCGGCTCCAGTGGTTCCTCACGCTCAGCTGCCCTTTTTCCTCTGAACGGGTGCTGGGTCTATAGACTGGCACGCCACGCAGCTTGTGACCACTCTCCTGACGTCTGTCTTTTGTAACCTGGGTCTTCAATGGCGAAATACAGTGTCCGCTTGACTCCAGGGTGTTCTTTGTTGGTGGTTCTTTGATTTGATTAAATTAGGACTCACGGACGCAGCGCAGGCTGGTTCACGGGCTCAATAGCTTTCTTTAGCGGCGTCAAGCCACCTTTTTGCGGCACCCTCGTTAAACAATTGCTTTGTTGAGGCTAGATTTGACCAGGGACACCTCCATTGTTAGTGCCATACTCTTGCACTAAATTCACGATGGAAGGATGTCAGATAAGCATCTCGCTGGTGGCTTTAGTCCGCACCCTGGCCCTCCCGGTCAAGGTATCAGAGATCCACTTATAAACGCAAGCGGAATCAGTGAACAGACGCAGGGTGGTCGACTTCCAGAGGATCGCCAAGTTGATCCCCTTGATGACAGCATCGAGCTCCGCTAGGTTTATGTGCTGGGAGTCCTTTCTGGACGTAACCAGCAAGCATCTTCTACCACGGCTCCATCGTGAACTATCGATACGCCCGGTTGCAAGAGAGCTTGCGTCAACCCACACACAGAGGTCTTGGCTGTCAACGCACCATCTGCCCGCCGCTGGGTCTTCCTTGCGTACTTTAGCGAGGACCTCCTTCATCATGGTGTTGAGAGGGGCGTCGTGAACTTGTCATCCCATCCAGTGGTGACGTCAGATGCTCTCCGCTTGATAAACGCCACCGCAACACGCAGCCAGCCACCTACAGGAAGGTGTTAACTTGCTGACAAGGAAAATATGCTTCGCCGTGACTCGGAGGGCATGTCTGGGAGTTCGTTTCCCCGTTTCCAATACAGGACGTCATCTTCTCCCCAGACCTGCAAACCAAGCACCCGTGCACCATCCTGTAGTCTCTCCGGTTCCTTGCTGAGGAGGCCAAAGTTGTAGAGATGCTCCTTACTTTAGGCCCTCTCGACTTTCGTTCACTACACGTCATCAATATATGCAGATGTTGCCCGCTGTTTCATCCTTTTAGAATGAATAATTAAATTGGTTGCCACATTATCCAAACCCCATGCGGGTATAATCAATTTTATTTTTTAGAGCCACAGTGATTGGTGCATCTTGAAGGTTCCAGCACAGATACATTAGTAGTTTCGCCATTATATTTAGTGTTCTTGGCAGTAAAAAGTATCATATTCAGTTTGATAGTATTGCCTTTTTTTTTATTTGTTCTTGAACCGCCATTAGCGGGATCTACAGTGGGGCCCCAATTGGTTCTGGATAAGGAACCAACCACCGTTATTAATCCAGGCTCTAATCTACTCCTTAATATCTTTAGTATAGAAAACTTTTCAGTTGAGAATTCTGACCATTTCCAAGATACCGTCCAGGACTTTATATAAATAATAATGGAAACTCAAAAAAAACCTGTTTAAAAAAATTCTGTTCTCAAGTTCACGGATAATAAAATCCTTTCCAGGACAGATATTAATAGACACAAAAAGGCCCACATTTATTCCCTCACCATAGGTTAAATAGCCCCAAACAGTCAGAAAACCCTTGTCCCACGTGTCTCATGCTATAAGAGGGAATGTCCACCGGTGTCAACAACAGAATTTAATTGCACATTTAATATTATTCTTTTTTTTGTTTTCATATTTCTTTTTGTTTTATTGGAAATTTTGCCAGTTCTCTTTGTTTAGTACTTCTACCAATTACATTTAACCATGACTTTTGTATCCTTTGCACCGTTAAAATTTGGAGAAATGATTTATACATTTGACTTGTAGATATTTAATTGTCAGTATGCATTTCAAATTTTTAGAATAACGGTATGGACATTAATTTTAAAATTGAGCCTTGATTATTTTTTATCACTTTATTTCAGTAATAATTTTATGCCAGACACGATTTAATGTACATCTACTGTTTCATCGGTCCAAGCATTCGTAAACTGCCTCCAGGCGACAAAGGGATCCTCAAAAATTTATAAGCTTGTTTTATTTTCTTATCCCTTGGCTGCTGAAACAAAGCGTAACCTTTGGTGAGTCAAGGAAAACCAGGATCTTTAAACACATTTGGCAGAACCGCCTTTTCCCCACCACTGACCACAGACAATGGCGGGGATGAAGAACTCTGGTATTAACTTCAAGTCGAATCTGTCCATGCTGTAATAATAAATAGCTTGTATAAATGATACTTGAATATATACGCAATCTTTCCGCCTGAAAATGTGCAACGCAAAACGATGTAAGCAAATGGAAATGTTGGTCTGCCAATGTCTCCAATAACCTGCTTTTATAAGACACACCTCATTAGCATGTTTATACATTCTTTTTATGAGACCGTGAATATTAAAAGTACGGACGCCATTTTGAATCTTTTGTTTCCTTAATAAACAGGCCAGGAAGATGCGAGGAACGCCTAAATGTCGTGAGAATTTTCCCCACACAGAAAATATTCGTTCTCCGACAGGATTCGAACCTGTATCCTGTACGGGCACGTCAAGCTAAATGACGGTACAATACATGTTGTCCGGTGATTGTAAATTACTGGCTAGTGAACAATCTATTCAGATTGAAAAGCAAAGTACAGTCTCTTTTTACAAAAGATAGAGAAAAGAAAAGTGTGTTGACTGGTTATACAGTTTTGTGGGCTTTACTCAGAAGTATATACCTCTGTTAATCTTCCATTTTGAATTTTTTATTCTCTTCTCTTTGATTGATACTGTTATCTTTTTAACTGATATCTGAGATTTTAATTCTTAGTTTAAATTTCATGTCTGGATTAGTCATTATTTTTATTACGATTAATCTGAATATTTAACAGCCATTATGTTTTCTTTTTTTACTCTCTTACTTGGCCATTGGCTATTTCTTCAATGACTTTAGGGATAGATTGCTACTTCCTCCCTACCCAAAACAAAGTACTGAATATGTATATCAATTTCTTTATAATAACAGCAAAGTTCAAGCTGTGGCTCTAGATATCTCAAAAGCGTTTGACAGGGTTTGACATGCTGGTCTTCTACGTAAGCTCCCAGGCTACAGTATTATAGCATAAGTGTTTGATTTAATCAAATTGTTCCTGTCAAATCATGAAATAAGGTTGTTTTGAATGGACTTGCTTCCAGATCCTTTCATACAAACACAGGTGTCCTCTAAGGCTGTATCCAGGATCCTAAGCTGTTTCTGATCTTCATTAATGATCTTCATCAGTTCCCAAGTAGGTATTTATGTAGATGACATTACCATTCACACCTGTCTCAATAGCAAATCCCTCAGAGCTGAATCTGGCTGCTGTTCTTAAAAAGGATCTCCAATCAGTGGTGAACTGAGGCAAGAAATGGTTTGCAAATCTTTACTGCAGCATTATGGCTTGTAAACAAAACTGCTCTCATTTAACCACCATATAGAAGCTAGACTCCTGGAGATCAACATACTGTGCCTTCTTTGCCTCATATTTTCAATTGACTTGAAAGGGAACAACTACATCAAATCAATAGCTGCATCTACTGCAAGGAAAGTTGGATCACTGTGTCATGCCAGAAAATTTTTCTTATCAGAGTCCATCTTGCACATTTACAAATTTACCATTTATTCATGCATTGAATACTACTGCCATATCTGGTCTGGTGCTTTTGCTGTTCTTGATAAAATCCAAAGAAAGATCTGTAATGTAATCCATCCTGACTTGGCATCTCAACTTCAGTCACTTTCTCAGCAACATGACATAGCTTCCCTCTGTCTTTTCTACAAATATTTTCATGGCAACTGCTTTGACAAACTTTTTTCCCTGGTGCTCTGACTACATGAATTTAAGTGTGCCACTAGATTGGCATCTATGTTCCACCTGTTTACTGTTGAAATAGCTAGATGCAACTGCCACTTCTTTTTCTTGCACTTCCCACCTGTGAAACTCCCTCCCATTTACTTGCTTCCCTGATAACTACAATCTTCAAAAATTTAATTGCAATGTCAATCGCATAGAAATTTTATTAATTTAACAAGACTTCTTGCTGAAAAGCTAAACTTTATCTGTAATTTTTTTTTAACTATGCATCTGATAGAGATGCTAAAAACTAACACATATTTGACATTTTTCATATTTCATCAGATGACCTAAATGTGTTGATTTCAACTTCAATTGCTGAACAAGGATTGAATGTTCCAGAATGTGAAGTAGTTATCAGGTAAAGTGATTATATCTTTCCTATAATTATATCTTGAAACTCTCACCTTTGTGAAGGTGAGAGCATCAAGTTTTTCACTTAGATATGTTTCTATGAAAAATGGCACCCATGCCAAGTATGTAATTTAAGGTTGTGTGTTGTTGTATTGTAGATGTGTGCATGTTCACATATAAACACTTGCTATAGACCATTTATTCTCTTTATTGTAGAAACTGTAGGGAAACAAAAATCTCAATAATTTTTGGGTATGTCAGATTTCTTTTTCTGGTCAAGAAATTAATTTGAATGAAAAAGAAGCAATGGGAAACTGGAAACTGCTTAATCACTCCAAGGAAATGGATGATAGAGCAAGCACCAAAAAGAAAAATAGGAATGGTAAGAAGCCAGAGTTATTTCATGCAACAAAAAGCAGGCAGTTGTGGAGAGCCATAACTGCCCACATCTTGAAAGGATGCCGTTTATAAAAGAACGAAATTCTACAATTTAGATGATTATTATTAGTGTTCTAATTCCATTATCTAAAATAGAATGTTTTTAACTCAATTTCACCAATGCCTTTTTTAAGCTGATCTAAAACTAAGTTTCTCTTTTAATTCAGAACGAATACAGCAATAATGATCATCATGGCTTCCCAAATTTGGATCCCACATTTCAAGTGTGATCCAGTGTGGGAATCTATCAGTCTAGCACTTTTTTTATTTGCCTTTTTCCCTTCAGGACATTAGCAGTCATGGTCCTCCACAACTTCCAATCCTTTTGAGCTCTAAACAATGTTTGTCCCTGTTCTGTCATTCCTTTACACAAGAAAAGAATGCTTGTAGAATTTAACATTCACAAGGCATGTTGATGGAAAGAGAAGTAGTGGGAAACACTGTGTAAACTGCTAAAGTGCTCCTTAGAAAATGGATGGCAGAACAAGCACCACAAAGAAAAAGAGGAGTGGCAAAGTAGCAAGTTATTTGGTGCAACAAAACAGAGGAAGTTGTAGAGTCATGATTGCACAAATTCTGAAGAAACATTGCATATAAAAGTATATTTGTTCCATTTTCTTTGATGTTTTTGTTGGTTAGTTACATTCACTTATGTGCAAATGCCATTGGGAAAGGTATGAATCCATCTCTTCTCTCTCCAGATATGGTTTAAATAGTAGGAATTGTAGCTAGAAAAGTCATTATCTCTACAACAAAAATTGTTAATGCAATTCATTTGCAAAAATAGAATTATTATCCAATGTTTCAGCTTTAAATAACCCAAAAAGAATTGATAAGCCTTAAAAAAAAAATGAAATCACTCAGTCAATTTTATTGGTTTATAATAGTTAAAATCCAATTTACTAATGTCAGCATCCAAGTACTTTTTTTAAACCATATTATCTTTTTTTCTGGTTGACCAGGTATCTATATGTCACCAGTGATATTAGCAGACGACAAGCCCATGGCCGAGCCCGAAAGAAAGACAGCAAGTGTTACCTGATTGCAGAGGAAAATACTGATCACATTTATCGGGACCATCGTAACAAACAACGAGAAAAAGAAATGGATGATGCTTTGACGACAATCATGACGCTCGGAGAGGAAAAATTCAGTGAAGAAGTACTAAAGAAAATTGTAAGTAAAATCTGTATCTTTACTATCTAAAGTTATAAGATTGATTAATTTATTTTTTTATACTAATGTTCACTCAATACAAGGCCCAAGAGCCACTCAAGGTAGAGGGTCACTGTGCATTGTTGCATAAATGTAAGAAAGAGCAAGAAGTGAATTTCAGGGGGATATGTAGGAAATATAGCAGTTAACTCTAGGTTTGAAGATGTCAAGATTATAGTGATTGGGAAAACATTTTGCCAGAAAGTAGCAGTTCTTGAGATGAAGCTGTTTTAATGGAACTTGCTTCTTACTATAGGAATATGTAGGGAATGGAGATGATTCACACATGGTGGGTCTCAGTTGCAAAGGTCAGAGCTGGTGGAACTAAAGAATGTAGCTCATCAAAACACATGCCATGGAAGCTGTTATAGAGCAGTGAGAGGCTTGCAAATTTTCTGCTGTTCAAAAGGGGTTGTAGAGACGAAGATAATTAATCACTCATAAGGCTGCATAGACACTTTTGAACTCTACAAGACAGGCAAGTGGAGACTGGGTGGATCCAGCACAGATATGGCCACAATACTCCATTTTTTGGTCTGATCTAACTCTTGTCAAGGTATAGTATGGCAGGTGGAGTCAGATACTTACTGGAACAGTACAGTGAACTGACCATCTTTACCAATAAATTATACTACATCTATTGTACTAAGTTCTACTTTGGAAGAGCTTGAATCCCAAAAGATGTTCAAGGCAAAAAGCCACCTTGAAAGAAGAGGCATCCATCTTCATAGGTGAATGGGTAATTATGACTCTCCACAGCTTCCTTTACTTTATTTGATTTGTCATGATTTCTTGGGAAAGTTAAGAAAGTGGTTTCCTACTCACTTCTCTACAGTTTGGAATTTAGAATTTTTCTTAAATTAGTTTTCTCTAAAGGCTAGAGATACCAGTTTACCCTGTTATTTAATCCATGGATAATACCTTTCCCAAGACTAGGTTTGAATTTGAACTTGGCACACAAATTCAACTTTTTGTGCGGATAACTGTTACACTACCTGCATATCCACTTAATAAATAACAATATAATTTTTATATTTCAGTTTATTACATTATTTCTAAAGTGATATCATCATTAAAGACCTGATAATTTCAAATAATGCAGCCATTATAAAATCACTGCTGGAAACAATGCAACTCGTCTTTCAATTTGATCTCTTTTCTTGATTTAGACGTTGTTTAAAATATAAAATAATGCTTACTTTGATTAGAGATTGTGATTATAAAGATTAGAAATAATGACATATTGGCAAAGTTTAACAGTCATACCCAGAAAAAAAAGCCTTATGTCAAAAATAGTTTTTTTTTCTCTTGAAACCACTATTACTGTATACTTCTTTAGACATTTTTATTGTTTTAAAAAGCTATTTTTAGAATTTTAATAAAATCCGAACATATGAAACTGGATTGACTGACTTGTTATTGGTTTCAATCCATGTAGGAATGACTGCAAAAACAACCACCAACCCCTTCAAATTTATAGACATTTTGTTCAGATGCATGCTGGGATTTCTCCTTAGCCACTAAAGAGACGACACCTCTGTCTCATTGACCTTTTTTTTGTTGTCGTGAAATCAGAATGCTACAATCACTTCTCTGTATCCCTTTTGTGTGTTAACACTGTTCTTGTTTTGTGAACTTTCCACCTTATTACTATTGCTTTGCCTACTTCTGCCTTGCATATACATATATATTGTCTGCTTAGTATTATTTTTGCCCTGGTTTTTTTTTATTGTTTATTAGAAATTTTGTCAATTCTGTTTGTTGGTCATCTCTGCCAATTACTCTTAACCATGGCCAATTACTCTACAATTACTTCTCAAAATAATGACCAGTATTCATATTTATGATTGTTATTGCAATATTTTCTTAAAGTTGTGAAGCTCAAATATTTAACAATGCCATACAGAAATATCTACAGATATTTTATTGTCATAAAACTCTCCATGAGTTGATTAATTAACTTAAGAATTAAGATTCATGAAAAATTTTAAATAGGGAAATAATTAAATTTTTACTAGTATTTCTAGTAGTAAATAATATTGCATTATACTTGGTTTGCATATTTTTATAATCTTGTAATTAAACAATTTAATAAGTTAACATTTAAATCCAATTCCTACATTTAAGCTTTATTACAATTCTAAAAATAGCTTTTTAAAACAATAAAATTACAAAAGGAATATACAGGATGTGATGGGTAGATTGTTGCATGCTGGACTGCATAACATTCATGCTGGAAGCTTCAGTACAAACATTTCAGAGTGTATCAATCTGAGAACATTGCAGGGAATTCTGAAAGAGTTGGATGAGCTTAATGGTGATTACAAAGGTGCAGCAACTTGGAAAACTCACTTTGATTGTTCCGATAAGAAAAGAACTACTGAATTTGTTGGTGAGGGTCACAGACTCAACTCTGAGGCTGACATCAAATACCTTGAGGAGGTAGTACTGCCTTGAGCCAACTGGGTGACTGCTGGAAGACCCTGTCTCTGGCAACAGGATTCTGCACCATTCCTCACAAACAGGAGAACCCAGTAATGGCTGTCAAACAATTTCTGTGACCACATCGCCTCTTACATCTGCCCACCTAACTCTCCAGACTCCAACCCCTTTGATTACTATGTGCAGGGTGCAGTTGAATGAGAGACCAACAAAACTCCTTGTAACACCAAAGATGAACTGAAGGCAAGGATTATGGCAGAATTCACCAACTTAATCAAGCAGACCATCCAGAAGAATTGCAGCAGATTCCAAAGTCATCTGGAGACCATGGTTGAAGCCAATGGCAATTTTTTTTTTTTTTTTTTATTGAATAAATTTACTCTTTAGTATTTTGTGACATTATGAAACTCTGAAAGGGTTAAAAGACTAAAATACAGTTTGGAACTGGATGAGAAGGTTTAAGGAATAGAATGATTGATAAACTAAGAGGAAGAGTGAAATTGCTTTTAATTTAGAAAGTCTGTTTTTTTCTTGAGCAGAGGCAGAAAAAAATCAGGAACATTAGAAATTACCACAAGGTTCATATGGATGTTTAGTTGACAGTTGATGGATGATCAAGCCTAAAGGTGTTAGATTGTGAAAATACCAATCAGGTGATAAGAAACTTGTGGCCTCTGTTGACCAAATTGGGAGTGGGAGAAATAGTTTCCTTTGTATACTTGAAAGGCAGCTGATAAATTTCTGATTTTATGACCGAGGTCAGGCTGAGAAATTTTGCCGATAAGAAGTTTAAATGATAATTTTAATTAATAACGAGAATTCTGAGAGCCAGATTGGTTACAGGACAGCCAAGGTGACAGGTGCAGGTGAAATACCAAAGAAGACTAAGGAATTGTCGACGCCCCTGGGGAGGAATTGGTATGAGGTACAAATAAGTGAAAGGAGTTAGGACAGATCAACAGCCTGTGACCACCACTCATGGGAAAAGTGGATCTCTCCTAAATTGGAGATATAATAAATTTTCCAGGGCTAGACAACAAAGGAACTCTTTTTGGAAAGTAGAGGAATACCGAATCCTCCAAATCATGTCAAACCTCATGCCAGTTTTGGATGAAAGTCAGTATAAGTAGAACACCGAAGTGACTAAAAGTAATCATTTCAGAGTTCCAGAAGAGACAACCACCTTGTTGAATCCCACATAATTTGCTGATGAGAACCTCTAACTTAAGCTTTGTTCCAGACTCAGATAGTGTCATGATAAAATTCAAAGTAGGAAGAGTTAACATTTCTGTACCAGAACTAATATTTCTGTACAAAGAATGATGGAAACTACATAGAAATAGACTAAGGAAGGATTCCAATCTTCTCTCTATTCATCTACACAAACATTTTTTTATTTGATTTTTAATTTTTCTTCTCTTGTGACATAACTTTACCGGGACTGAATCAACACAACAATTGCTGTCGACAAGTTGATCCTTGCCAGCTCTGTGATCAGTCAACACAACGGGGGCAGTGCAAAAACTTGAGTCAAATTGACCAACTTAATGGTCAGTTGCAGCAATTGGCCATTGGACCGAGTAGCAGAGAAAAGGGTTACGACTGGTTGCTGTAGACCAGGACTGACCTTGAGGATTATATTTCAGGATATTTTTGTGCAATTTTAGTTAATATATTTGTTAAAATGAGATGTCAGTGTTATTTTCATTTTTGCATAATTTAGATGGCAATTTATCCATTGCACACTGTACATGTCAAGAGAAAAAAATGTCCTTTTGACACAGGTGTTACAGGTACATTTGATAAACTTTTCCAATATATTTTCTTTTGAATGCAACACAGACAATGATGAATACTTCTGCTATGTATTGTAGTGCGCTGATGTTTTAATTGGTTTAGAAATGAGTAACAGTCATCTTTCTTATAGCTCTGTCTGGAAGAGCCAATACTTTTCATCATGATTTGTTGAAGCAGATCATTGTCAAGGTACCAGAAATTTAGTAAAATAATTCAAGAAATGCACATCTTTTGTAAATGGAGTTAATTCCAATATAGCAACATATAGCTGATCTGAATTTTCATTATTTGAAAAGTATAGATTGGTTTATGGCCACGCCCTTTTGAAATGCCGGTTCCTGTACAATCACCAAAGTTAAGCAATGTCAAACCTGGACAGTACTGAGATGGGTGAACACTTGGGAATACCAGCTGCTGTAAGTTTGGATGTGCTTGTGGTGTAATGAATAATGGCTTGGAATTGTTAATTAGAGAGCCAAGTTCCAATTCCTGTTGGGTTCGTTATATTCATTTACACACAAATACCCTTAGGAAAGGTATGAATCCACTTCAATGGATTAATTACTAAGACACTAAATCATTATTATCTCAAAAAAAAAATTCTTAAAATCTAAAGGGTTGATAAGCTCTAAAAAATAAAATAAATGAATCCATCATGAGTATAACATTTCTAATGACTATTGTTTCAGGAATCACTTCTTTTGTTGTGAGGTGTGGATGTTTTTTAGTAGACATTTAATGACTCCTGATACTCACAGACAATTTTGGGCAGGCTCATGTGAGAACAGGTAAAAATAAAAGATAGGTTTTAAACAAACCAATAAATTAACATAAAGAAATCACAGTTGAAAAGAAAAAAAAACTAGACCATAATAACTTAAATATTTAAGAATCATGCATATGATACACATGTGTGTAAAAAAATTCAGTCATCAGTTGGCCAAGAAAAGGAACATTTACCAACAGGGACACATTCATTTACATATCTTGGAGCAAAAGTAAGAGAGCAGATCTGTTTATCTTTTGATAGAACTGTACTACCTAGTAGGCATTTGACAAAATATACATACAGAAAATCTGATCTGTCTCTGGATTTTGTCAAGGACCTTGAGACGAACAGCAGAGGAACCAGACCATATATGACAGCAGTATTCCATGCAAGGATGAATGGTTGATTTATAGATTTGAAGGATGGATTCTGCTGAGAAATACTTTGTTGTGCAACGCAGAGAGAACCAAGTTTACTTGCGATAGATGAAGCTATTGAGTCAATGTATTAGTTCCACCTTGGGTCAGCGGACAATGTGAGACCAAGCAGGCACAGAGAGGCGCTCTCGTGGAGTTGGGCATCAGCCATTCTGATAGGAGGCAGGGAGGGTTTTCTGTAGTGGGTAAATGAGAGCAGTTTCATTTTGGAGGTATTAAAGTTTACCAGCCATTTCTTGCCCCAGTCAACCACAGATTAGAGGTCCTTTTTAAGACCAATGGCCAGGTTAGTTTTGTCAGTGATACCAGATTGAGGCAGGAGTAAATAGTAGTGTTGTCTGCATAGATGTCTACATGGGAACTGATGACATCAGGAAGATCATTAATGGTGTAGGACACAGGATAGAGTCTTGGGGAACACCAACGTTCATGTGAAAGAAACTGAAGGAGAACCTGTTTAGGACAACCTTCATTTCACTGTTTAACAGGAATGATTGTATTAAGTCAAATAATCATCTTGTAACGCCATATCCCTTACACAAAAAAAAATAAATTCAAGGGAATAGAAAATTTAAAAATAGATATTGCATTTCAAATTTATCAAAAAGTAAAAACAAATGGGAATGTCTTCGCCTTCAGGCCCCTCCTAGTCATCCAGATGTACAACACCTGCGGCTGATCAATGAGATAACCACTTTGATCCAAATCCTGCTTTATCCAACATTGTTATTAGTTTTGATCATCGTATTGGGTTGGTCCAGGCAGAATGAAAGTGGAAAGAAAAAAAAATGAATAAAAATAAATGTTTTTAATTATGCTTTGTACAATACTTGGTTAGTTTTGTCATTAGAATTTATCAGTTTCTCATGCAGACAATTAATAACCCAGCCCTCTTAAGTTGAACATGACATTTCAGCTGGATTGGTTAAGTTTGGCACAAGGCTTATGTCAAGGGTTCTCTTCAGGCCTGAAGTCACATCAGATCATCTCTTGTCCAGCATCTGGAACCACTGCTTCTTGCCACTTCTGTTCCTTGTATTTAATGAAATTCACCAAAAACTAGCATGGGAGATGACGCAGTTAAGGTATGCTGTGTTTTCCCTATCTTCCAACAAGAACCCTTTGTTTTCTGAATCTTGAAAATCAATTAGATTTCCAAATCAGGAGATCCCATTTTCCTGTAGATAGTGCTCACAGGTATCGATCCACCACGATAACTTCTTCCTTCCCTTATTGGCATCTCACACCAATACTTTCCAATGGGTGTGGGCAATTCCTCCACCTTCCTTGATATTTCATCTGCGCCTGCCATCTTGGATACTCTTTGACCAATGGTTCTCAACTGCTTGGCATGGCTTAATTTTATGGTCATTAATTAAAAGAATTATCATTTCAAATTTTGCTTACACAAAATTTCCTATGCCGACTTTTGTTCAAAAAATCAGACATTGACCAGATGGCTCCTTTGATCTGTCATTTCTCCAATCTTGTCAGGGTCATTACACTCCAACCACAAGGAAACTCTGTTCTTGAGTTTTACTTACAGATCTTATCCATCCATATTTATTTGTGTTTTCATAACCAGCACCTTGAAAGCCAGGTCATCAATCAGTTGTCAAAAGATCACCACATGGCCTCTTGTGATAATATCGCTTTAAATAATTGCTCTGGTTTTTGAGAATTAAGCTTTTGAAAAGAGAAATCTTCATTCCTTCTCTTGGTCTGTCCATCGTTCTATTCATTAACCCTTTCTTTCCATTTACCAGCACTAAATAGTGCCACAAGAATAATAATTATTCCCATTTGTTTTTTACTTTTTAATTCTGAGAATTTTTGAATGCTTACATGGCTAAAAATGGATTCTAATGCAATTATTATGTATTTTTAATTTTAAAACATCTTTACAAATCATACAAGGATAATTTTTTTGCAAAAAGGTAGTCTGGATGATACTGTGTGTGTGTGTGTGTATATATTTATTTATTTTGTTGCTAATTATTGTATGTTACAATTCAGAGCATATCTTATGAAATTTTGTTAATAGCTTGAGAAAAGATAAATAAATTTAAAAAAAGTATCTGATGATGCATTACTCTTAGTAAGATGAGAAATAAGCAGACTATGAAATTTCTAATTGAATCTACAGACTGTCAAGGATTACTCAGACCTTCCAAAGTTTACACAAAAAATATTGTGCTTTGAGAACTTTTGCAGTAAACATTATTTTTGTTGTAAACATGTAACATTTATGAGGATAAAGTACATATATCTTTCCTTAGATGTTTATAAATTGTACACTGTTCAATTATTAACATTAATTACAAACTATTTTAACCTTTACAATTGCTGCTGGCAACAATTATTGCCATAGAATTCTCTCCCTTTGCTGCTCTAGGCACATTCTGTCTCCTTGAGACAGTTGCTATAAATAAACACTTGTCAACTGTTATTTCCAATATTTTAAGCTGGAAATTGCCTACTACTACTTTGGAACAAGGTTAAACTTCCGTTTTCCAATGCCATTTTGAATTCTTCTAGACTCTATACGAGGTGCAACACCGATTAAACACACATTAATTTTTTACAATTTTTTGTAAACAGAAATGGCCATGTCAATATCCAACAAAGCCTTTATTCAGGAGTTTTTTTTTTTTTTTAATGATTTTGAAGGCTTTACTCAAGTGAATATTGATGGTGGAGTGGTCAAAGATGATAATTATGCTAGTGATGTGGAGAAAAGCAATGATGATCACTGGTGGCTACTATCATCTATGCCTGACTAATTTTATGGAAGCTACTGGTGACTATCGATATACCTGATAGCCTTTCTGAAGGTGAATTATTTTGTCTGTTTATAAACGATGAAATAATAACTTTATTTTTCAATGAGACAAATAAGTGAGTCAGGTGAAAGAAAGAGCAAACACATGCTAATGTCTTCTCATATGTAAACACATGAAAACACGTCACTTTTTTGACAAAATAAAAGACTTCTTAGCGAATTTGATTCTTATTGCACCCCCAGAACTCCACAAGTATGTTGAATTATTTATATATTTTTTAATGTAATTGTTTTTTATTTCACATTTCAATTTTTTTTTGTTTTCAATGTCAAAACATAATGCATTACATCAAAATATTACTCATTCATTCTTTTATTAGTGTACAAAAATTAAAATCTATACGCACGATACAAAGAAAGTTATAACAATTTATAACAGTAAGTGTTCATGTTTTTGCACCCACAAAAAATGCAGTGGCAAGGGAGACAACTCTAGAAAGAAATTAGGTTAAATTACAAAATTGTACTTGGATTAAATGAAAATTACATACAATATAATATATATTACTTATAATATATTCCTTCTTGCTGTTGATTTTGATGGCATGGATACACTAACTAGTCAAATGAAGCTTAAGCTTCTACTTAAAGTTGTTGCTATATTACAGTTCATTTTGTCAAATTTTTATATAGATTTTTAAACATTTTCGTAACACCTCTACAGATTAAAGCCCTATGTCTAGTAAAAGTGAGATAAATTTACACATTTTTTTTTCTAATATTTTTGTGTTTTTCTAAAATCTGATAATTCTAAAAGTTACTTGTAAGAAACTGGCTGAATAATGAAACTCAAGGCATAGCAACACTGAACACATTTTATTGACAAACCAAGAAATGTGATTTTTTTTTTTTCTTTTTCAATATTTATTTTTTATTCTTATGGGGATTGCAGGTATTACATGGGATGAACTATTTTCCTGTTCCTCTAGTTTTTAGGGTACTGAACATTGGACAGATATATGAATCCTTCATCCATTAAAGGTTATCCTAACTTCATTGGAAGCTGAAGGTTTTTCTGGAATACTTGGACTAAATATTTAGTGGATCAGTATGTATGTGTAAAGCAAGCAGGTTCTATTGCTACTATGAGTGTTGTTTCTTTTGTTCAGATTAAAAATAATTTTGAATTTTAATTGAGAACTTTCTTTTTTCCAGAAAATCTTAGATGAAGCAGCAGAGTTAAAAAAGTGCCATGATAGTTCAAACAAGTATAAAATTCAAAGTGAGGATGTTCAAATCTTCTGCAAAGAATGCCACCAAGAGCTCTGCCTTGGTTCAGACATTATCAAAAAAGGGACAGACTACATCTGTATTGATCCTGGTTTTGAAGACAAAGTGATTCGTGTAAGCACAACAAAACAGATTTTCCGGTATGACAGCAATGTTGGTAAGTAAAGCTATGATCAGTTCCTGAGAAAGAGAAGAAACGTCCAGTTCTTGAGAGAGTAGAAACGTCCAGTTCTTGAGAGTGTGAGAGAGAGAACAATGATTAGTGCATGAGAGAGACAGAGAAGGGACGAAATGATAGAAAAATGACCCATTTCTGTGAGAGAGGAAAAGACAGAGAGAATGAAAGATAGAACAAATGATCACTTCCTGATAGAGAGAGAAACTGAAAGATAGCAAAAATTATCACTTCCAGAGAGAGAGAGAGAGACTGAAGAGAACAAATGATTACTTCCTGTGAGAGACAAGGAGAGAATAAAAGACCACTTCCTGAAAGAGAGAAAGAAACTGAAAGATTAAACAAATGTCTTTCAGAGAGAAAGAGAGAATAAATGATCACTTCCTGAGGAAGAGTGAGACTGAAAGCTAGAACAAATGATTATTTCCTGTGTGAGAAAAAGAAAGATATAATTATCACTTCTTGAGAGAGAGGAAAATAGACTGAAAGACTAAACAAATAATGACCTCCTGAGAGAGAGAGATATACACACTGAAGGAAGGAAGGAAGGTAGGATAGAACAAATGATCACTTCCAGAGAGAAAGACTGAAAGAAATGATTACTTCCTGTAAGAGAATAAAAAATTACTTCCTGAGAGAGATTGAAATTTAACAACTGATCACTTTCTGAGGGAATCGGTGTGAAAAAATGGTCACTTCTCGAAAAGAGAGGGACTGAAAGATAAAACAGATGATCATTTCCTTAGTGAGAGAGAGAGAGACTGAAATATAGAACAAATGATCATTTCCATAGTGAGAGAGGGAGAGAGACTGAAAGATATGTCAAATGATCACTTCCAGAGAGAGAGAGAAAGGGAGAGACAGGAAAATTAAACAAATTTTCACTTCCTGAGAGAGATTGCAATATGGAACAAATTATCACTTCCCAAGAGAGAGAGACTGAAAGATAGAACAAATGATTATTTTCCGAGTGAGAGAAAGAGAGAACTAATCATTACCTCCTGTAAAAGAGAAAGAAAGAACAAATTACTTTCTGAGAGAGAGAAAGACACTGAAAGATTGAAACATTGAACAAATTTTTACTTTGTGACAGAGATTGAATGTTGAACAAATGATCACTTTCTGGAATAGAGAGAGAGAACTGGAAGATAGACCAAACGGTTCCTTCTTGAGAGAGAGAGAGACTGAAAGAGAGAACAAATGATTACTTCCTGAAAGAAAAAAGGAAGAGTAAGAGATTGAATGATTAAACACACATGTTCATGAGAGAGAGAGAGATAGAACAAATTATCACTTCCTGAAAGAGAGAGACTGTAAGAGAGAATAAATGACAATTTTTATTGCTGGTAATTTTTTTTTTTTTTTTCCAAAAAATCTATTAATAGTAATAATTTTTTCAAAAGTGTACAGCTGGTAATTTTTTTTTTTTTTTTTCAAAAATGTATTGCTGGTATTAATGTATTGCTGCTAATAATTTTTTTTTTTTTTAAATTTATTGCTAGTAATAATTTCTAGTATTAAAGCCTATTTTTACAATTTCATAGTGTTTTAACCCCAGTTTGGGGGTTAACTATTTGCTATACATAAATATTTGCTAACTATAACTGGGACCCTAACAGATGCTACCCTCCTAAGTCAGGGTGGGCCTGGCAACACCAGCAATTAAGAAGTAGTTCTACCCATCTCGAAACCTCCTGATCAGAGGCCTTTCTGTCAGACGTAGTTTATCATTATACCCAGGACGAATTAAACAAATGATCGCATCTTGAGAAAGATTGAAACATTGAACAATTGACCAATTCCTGAGAGAGAGAGGAAGAGAGAGAATGAGACTGAAAGATAGAACAAATGATTACTTCCTGAGAGAGAGAGAGAGAGAGACTAGAAGATAGAACAAAGAATGATTTCCTGAGAGAGTGAGAGAGACTGAAAAAAAGTATAAATGATCACTTCCTGAGAGAGATTGAAAGATAAAACAAATGATCAGGGCTTGAGAGTCAAAGAAAAATTGAAATAGAAAATGCTTGCTCAGTGCCTGAGAGAGAGATTGAAACGTAGACTAAATGACTACTTTCTGAGAAAGAAATTGAAGTCCCTGGTTTACCATGCGTTTGCTTTTGGATAGCCCTCATTTTTAGCATGTCCTTTGTTATCACTATCTTTCCGGATGATGGTATTGAAATATTTGACAGAATAGCAAAGATAATATCCTCTGAAATCATCCTTCATCTGCAATTTGCATTTGTAACAATTTCATTATTCACTACAAGGAGTTTTTAGTCCACTCACACATAACCAATGAAGAAAGGAGATACTATCATGATTTCTCCACGGCTTACGAGTTGACCCAGAAGTGGTAAGCCTACTTGTGTTCCCAATATAGATGTGCATCATCTTAGACCTCTTTCTCACTTCCTATCCTGACCAATGGTCTGCTGAAGTATTACCTTCCTTGAGCACGTCAGGCCACTAATTGATTTATATTAAGGTTGATGCTAAACCAGAGGCATCCTCACATGGTCAAGGATAATGGTCTTGTTCTGTTTGCCACAGTTAATTGGGTTTGAGAAAGCAATTGAGACCAATTTTTGCTAGAAACGTCTCTCGACATTGAGGACAGGTTGTTCTGGATGGTAGATTAAGCCTTCATTGTTGTCATCTGTCTTTTCAGCCTCTTTTTTCTTTTAGTTTGATTGATCATTTTGGATTTAAAGACTGTTGTTCTGTCTCTGACAATGAATCACCAGAGATTGCTGTCTATTAAACTGAATTCTCAGCTGTTGATGTCAATGTTAAATTTCTTTGTTTTTTGTTAGAAAGTCCTTGAATCTCTTCTTTTGACCTCCTCTTTTCCAAGTTCCTTCTTTGAGTTGGGGGTAAAATATTTGCCTTGGTAGGCAAGTTTCATCGCAGCAAACACATGACTATCAAGGGGAAAAGGGGCCATTCTCAGTAGACTCCCTCCCATATATCTAGTAAATGATGCCTCATCATTAATGAAATATTTCAAACCAGTCATCAAAAGCTACAAGATATGATACTACCCCACTTTTCTGGTCAAGCAATTTGATTGATCTGATCATGCATGCCTCTGCTTAATAATATTTGATTATTATATTTCTGCTAATATTAGCTATAATACCCTTCTCAACAATGGCCAAGTTTACTTGGGAGAACATTCTACAATAGACGGAACACTCATTTTGAAGCTAACACGACACCTCTCTCTTGACTGAGTGTACATTTCTCAAATGTCAATGAGTTTAAATATTTAGGCACTATTACTTAATATCAGAAAGAGGCTGTTAAATTTCTAGGGCACATAATAAGGAAAGGGTGCTTGGAGAATTTAATACCCTTCCGTCTCTTTTTTTTTTCTTCCCCTCCTGTTTTCCCTCTTCCCTCCTGTTTTCATTCTAACCCCTCCTGTTTTCCTCTCTTCCCCTCCTGTTTTCCTCTCTTCCCTTTCTATTTTCCTCTCTTCTTTTCCTGTTTTTGTCTCTTCCCTTTCTACTTTTGTCTCTTCCCTTTCTACTTTTGTCTCTTCCCTTTCTACTTTTGTCTCTTCCCTTTCTACTTTTGTCTCTTCCCTTTCTACTTTTGTCTCTTCCCTTTCTACTTTTGTCTTTCTTACTTGCTGCTTCCCTCTTCCATTTTCCTGTTTTTGGTTTTTTACCCTTTCTATTTTCATTTCTTTCCTCCTTATTTTTGTCTCTCCTTTTCCTATATTTGTCTTTTTTAGTTGCTTTTTCCTTTTTTCTCTCTTCTCTTTCTATTTTTCTCACTTCCATTGGTATCTTTCTCTCTTCCCCCTCCTGTTTTTGTCTCTTCCCCCTCCTGTTTTTCTCTCTTCCCCCTCCTGTTTTGCTTTTTTTCCTATTTTTTCTCTTTTTCATTCCTTTTTTTTTCTCTTTTTTCCTATTTTTCAACAGAACCCTCCTATTTTTCCTGTCTTCCTTTTTTTTCCTCTTCATTTTTCTGTCATCTTCTTTTTCTTTTCCCTCTTCCTCCTTTTTCCCTCTTCCCCTCCTGTATTTGTTTCTTAGGTTCCTGTTTTTGTCTCTTTCCTTTCGACTTTTCTTTTTTTTCCCTTTCTGCTTCCCTCATCCCTCTCTATTTTTTCTCTTCCCGTCCTGTTTTTGTCTCTCCCCTTTCTATTTTCCTCTCTTCCCATCCTGTATTCATCTCTTCTCTTTCTGTTTTCCTCTCTTTTCTTTTTACTTTTCTCTTCTATTCCTATTTATCTCTCTTCTCTTCCGATTTTTCTCACTTTTTTTACTTGATTGTCTCTCTTCCCTTCTTATTTTTATTTTTTTACCTTTCTATTTTAGTTTGTTTCTTCCCTATTTTTCTCTCTCCCCTTCCTATATTTGTCTCTTTTATTTGCTTTTTCATTTTTCTCTCTTCTCTATTTTCATCTCTTCCCTTTCTATTTTCATCTCTTCTTCCTGTTTTTTTCCCTTTTTTAGCTGCTTTTTCCTTTTTCTCTCTTTTCTTCCTATTTATGTCTCTCTTTATAGTTCATTTTTTCTCTCTTCCCATTCTGTTTTCCTCTCTTCCCTTCCTGTTTTTGTTTTTCCCTTTTTATTTTTGTCCCTTTTTTAGTTGCTTTTTCCTTTTTCTCTCTTCCTCTCCCATTTTTGTCTCTTCACTCTCCTAGTATTTATTTCTTTTTATAGTTCCTTTTTTTTCTCCTCCCTTCCTATTTTTATCTCATTTTTTACTTGTTTTTTGCTTTTTTTCTCTTTCTTTTCTATTTTTTGTTTTTTTTTTGAGTTGCTCTTTGTAGTGTATATCTCTGACACTGAGCTGTCGGCCCGTGGTCAACTCAGAGTGTAATGTTTCTCCTACTGGCATTTTGGGGTTGACTCTTAGTCGCTGCCACCAGCCCGTATCCTAGTCGATTGGTGGTCGTCGCTGCCCGGCAGAATCTCTTAGTAAGGGTACCAATATGTGACACTGGCCTGTCCAGGGTCGAATCCTGGTTGTCACTACCAGGTGGAATCCTTTCGTCAGGGTACCAAGTGGGATGGTCAGTCAATGTTAACAGCTTCACACCAGCTGCAACCAATTCAACGCCAGCTCTGTTGTTCCCAGCTCACTTCTAATATCTGGTTACCGAAGAAACTGCTTCGATCTCAAGTTTAACCTACCGACGTTATGATTTTGATCTTAGGTAGACAAGACCAATCAGGCGTCGGGCCGTAGTGTAAGATGAGTCTAGACTGGAGGTGATATTGCACAAGCATAAAGAAAAAGAATCAAATAAAAACCCAAGAGGTTCAAGTATGTTAAAAATAATAAATTAACTTTATCTGTCTGTTATATACAAGAGTGTGTTTTTCTCCCAGCCTGTTTTCTACAGAGTGTCAGACTTCTAGGCTTCTTAGGCAAGTTCTATTCTTCTAAGTCAACTGGTTTAGTTTTCAAGTGCTGGCTTAGCTTCGCTCGTCAGTATAACTTGCTATTGGTAGGATTGGTGACATCAGAGGTCGTGGAATCTCTTGGTCAGCTTCTGCAAGGCAACACTCTGGTTCCTGCAACTCCAACTGTCTGACTGTCGAATGGCCTGAGGACCTTTGTTTATATGGTTACCGACCAAAAACCAGTGCAGTCTGGGGTTTTCAGTAAATCTCGATTTCTGACAAGAAATCTCTCTGTTGTCAGGCCAGGAAAATTGATTACTTCACATTTTTTTCCCATTTTGGGGGTATCTCTTCATCTGTGAGGAAAGATCAGAGGAGAGTTATCGTTCTAAACTCCCCCTCTCTCACGCTGATACCTCGTATCAATCTCTTTAGTGAGTGTCAATAATTTCCCCGTCCTTCTCATCAAATTACCTCTGCCTATCACCATTGCTACCACCCAACCAATGGTGTCCCGGCTGTGCGAGTGTGGCTAAGCTGGCTTCATAATCCAGAATTTTTGTTTACAAAATTCTTTTCTCATCAGCCAAAATTTTTATGAATCACATATTGCCACTTAAAATCTCTCAGATCTTTTGGTCACTCTGTGTCTTCTTAACCAGCACCCTTTACAAACTTCATCAATCAATTGTCAAAGTCTGCCATCTGGTCCCTTCATGAAGTTAGCTTTTGCTGGAACCCTTGGCTTCTTGAGAAATTAAATTTCTTATCTCTCAGTTTGGCGATTCTTCCAAGGTATTTTTCTTATGTCAAAATTTTACAATCACAATATGGCCACCCAACGTATCGACACCGAAGGCAACATCGTGGATAAGTAAATAACATTAATTCTCTCTATCCCTTATTGGAACATTTTCTCATGCCAAAATTTTTCATGATGTACATATGGCTTTTTCAACTTGCAGGCACTTAAGAAAAATGATATCTTGGGAAGATAATTAATATTGATTCTCTCTATACCATATTGGTAAATCATTTTGGAATACTTTCTCATGCCAAAATTTTTATGATCACCATATGGTCTGCCTGATATCTCAATGCTTTGCTTTTCCTAAATCATCTGTTTTCTCAGCAAGCATTTTTTTTTTTTTTTTACAAACTCATTAATCAACTGTCAAAAAGCTTGAATATGGCTTTTCTGCGAGTCTACTATCTACGCCAATTTACGGGTCTTTGAGGAAGTAACTCGATTTTATTATTAAGTAAAAAAAAAAAAAAAATTTTTGGTATCTTCTTTTTCTTTCCCTGTATTTTCTTGTTTTAACTTCTGTGGTTAATTAGTTAACCAATTACTATAGCTAAATAGTGTCACATATATTCTTTCATTTATTTCTTCTTTTTGTTTCACTTAATATATCTTCCCGATAACAATTAAATTTTGAACCTTTAGAAAAATTCTTTTTCTTTACAGCACTTGCCAGATGTAATGGCCATGGCTGTAAAAATCAATTTGGAGCCATTAAAATATACAACAGTGGTAAAAGGTTGAATGGATACGTTGTAAGTGTTAAAAGCATCCTATTTCAAATTGAAGGGCATCCAGAAAAAATTCAACTGAAGAAATGGTCACAACACTTTTTTCATATCAATGAGGAATCCTTGACATAATCTAACTTTTTATTTTGACATTACAATTTATACAAATTTTTTTTTTTTTTTTTCAATTTCACAATTTTTTGATATGCTTATTTCTAATAATTTGGATGTTCTTGAAACCATCTGAGGAATGTGTGGGTGGTGTAATGGATAGCTGATCAAAATGAGAAATTGGAGAGTCAATTTTGCATTTCAGTCTGTACTGTTATATTCACTTATGCACAAATATCTTTGGGAATGGTATCAATGAATCTTCTTCCTCATCTATGGGTTAAATAGTAAGACTTGCATCTGGAAAAATTGTTTCACCAAAAGATTAATGCAGTATTCGCTTAGAAAAAAGTAAAAACAAAAAAAAATTCTTAAAATTTATCTTATAATTTGTTTCATTGTTAAATAACCCACAGAGGGTTGATAAGTCCTAAAAAAAAAAGAAAAATTATGAACTTTTGTGTCTGCAAAAAAAGTTTCAAAAGTATTTTCCATTGACACCACTATTTATTTCAATTATTTTCTCTCTCTCAGCAATGTTTATTACAGTTACTTGTATTTATGTGTTAATTTAAATTTTCTTATAGACATTTTTCATAAATTTATCAGTAAAAAAGTTTATTCTCATATTTATTTCTTTATATATTGATAAATGATAAACATTGTATTAGTTGGTTTAGATTTTATGAATGTTGTAAATATATTATTTTTGTAAAATTCTCAAAGAATAAAGAAAATGTAATGATTCAATTTCATGTTTCGGTTTTATTAAAATTTTAATTATTGGTTTTTAAAACCATAAACATTACTGAAAAGAGGAATGTAGCTAAAATTGATAATTAGTGTTTTAAAACTAATTATCCTGTTGATGGTTTACATGTATTTGATAATTTTGTAATTTTTATTTTGAATCAAAGATTTCTTTTTTTAATATTTATATCTTTATAAAAGTTAAATAATTTTTATAATCTTTTAAGTAACTATTGCTGAAGGAGTGGATATAGTTGAAATAATAGCAATGTCAATAGAAAAAAATATCCTTTTGAAAACCCATTTTTTGTAGGCAGTGAACTCTGTTTGCTACAAAAAAAAAATTGATATATTTTTTTAACATTTGCTATAAAACTGAAGAACTAATAATTTCAGCTGGTCTGTGTATTATAATCACCTGTCTGTATATTTGCCTATATTTCGTAATAAAATCTCAAGTTTTCTTATTTTTCTGTTTGTT